GCCCCCACCGAAACATAGGAAGGAGGTGGGGCGTCGGGTCCTACCCCCACTGAAGCACTGGAGGATTGGGCTTTGGAACCAGCCCCCACCGAAACATAGGAAGGAGGTGGGGCGTCAGGTCCTACCCCCACTGAAGCACTGGAGGATGTGTGAGAGGCGACCTCCTGGACCCTCTCTGAGACACAAGGAGCAGGAGGTTCGTGTGGGTTCTGCTGTGGCACAGTATGGCTGGAGAGAGAATGGTGTTTAAACTGTTCTTTGAAAGTCCTTATGTTAATGAGTAATTGATGGAACTCTGGGATCTGTGTTATTGCAGGCTGAGACAGTAATAATTCTTCAGCTAGGGAATAAAAAGTGTTTTGATAGTTCGGGTTCAGTTTAGCGGAAGAAAGCAGATTTTGTAGTGTATCATTTAAAGCAACAGATTCAGGAGATGACTTATCTGAGAAGGATGACTGGTCCTGAAGGGGTTTAACAGAGGACTCGGGAAGAAGCTGAATGGGCTTTCCTTTCAGTTGGCCCCCCTTCGTCTGCTCCACTGACGAGCGGGGGATTGCCTGCTCCTCCCCCTTTGAAATTCTCCCCGGTGCTTTAGGCTGCGCAGCGGGAGAGCAGGTTAAAGGCTGGAGCTGGAGATCAGTGGTTCTGACCCATCTTTGCCGCTTATTCCTCCTGCGGTGAGGGCGTGAGCTGAGGACAGGAGCGCACCAGAGTTCATCCTCCAGCTCAGCGTCGTCCTCCGAAGACCACAGCAGGTGTGGCGAGCAGGGTGGCAGGGTGGAGGAAGAAGCTGGTTTAAAAGCCAGGCGGCTCCCCTGGAGCTGAGACCTCATTTCCTCTTCCTCCACCAGAAGAGGCGACGGCAGAATCTCAACCTCCGGGCTGCGGTGACCTTGTTTCTGGACGGGTTCGGTCCGGGACCCGCCCCATCTGATGACAGGCTCCTCCATCCGCGCCTGCTCCCACCGGGTCGTCCGAGCTGTTTCTTGGGCCCGGTATTCGGCCCAAGTCATCCGCCTGCTGGGTTCTCGTTGTGGTCTGGGCATACTGTCGTGATTGTTGGTTTTTTAAGGTAGAACCCAAGGATGCAGGCAGGACTCAGTCGACTCGGTGGTAAAATAAGAAGACACTTTAATAGCACAAAAATAAATGGCTGTCGAGGCAGCAAAACTTACACGTAGAAAATCACGAGGAGGCACTCAGGAAAACATTAGGGACTCAGGAGGATTACCAGGAGAATACAAGACGATGCCCAGCCAAGGAATAACACTAAGACACAGACTTATATACAAACACTGATGAGGACAAAACATAAAACACCTGTCAGGCTCACAGGTGTGGGAAAAGGGAAATCACATGAGAGGAAACAGGACAGAAACACACCACTAGGGGCAATATCACCACAAAAGAAGTTATTAGAACGAAGTGTATTGTTTTTAAACCTAGCAGACAGTAAATAAGAGCAACTGGCACCTGCAAAGTTTCTCACTTCTTCAAAACATTTCTCTCTGTACTAAATGTTCCTAAACATTCCTGCTGTCCTCTTGACTTGCAATAACCCTCTGACATCACTAGAACCACCCCCTGTTGGTTGTTTCAACCAATCAGGAAGTCCTAAGTGACCGGAAGTGAGAACTCTTTAAGAGTCCACACTTCCTGGAACTACTGAGTCTTCTGAGTCGAGTTGGAGTCAAGTCAGTCTTTCAGTCTAGCCAGTCTAGTCTTCCAGTTTCCTGAGTCTTTCTTGGGACTATGGAGTATTCCACATCTGAGTGGAAACTCTGACGGACTCAAAGCTTGCTATGAATCCACCCGGGAGCTGAGCGTATTTGTTGAACGGAGTAAACAACACGACTTCTGACGATGGCCAGCCGCTCTTACCGGAGACGCTGGAAGGTAGCATTGAAATGGACCTGACACCGGAGCTGATTAATCTTCTGCAAAGGTAACGAGTCGTGACGCGCCAAGTGTACCGGAGGTTTGAGCTGGTGTTCGAGGAAGCGTGCCATCCTGGTCCAAACAGACACCCCCTTTACTCATCTTTTCTCTTCATTCCTTCCTTTAAACTCTTCTATTTTGCCAGTAATCTAGATGCCTTCAGAAATGTCTTGTTGTCTTATTAGTAAAGCGTGCCGAGTTTTATTAATCAGAACCAGATCCGCTTATCACGTGTACATGTTTTGATGTTAAATTTTGATTCTGTTAAATAAATGTCCACATTTATTCTGATGGGTCAAAGGAAATTAACGTCTCATGTCACTGATTTAAACACAATCCTCACAGTAGCTCGTCATATGGCAGAAATTTAACTCGAAAAAGAGAGAACCCGTTATATTTAAATAAATTGTAGTGGAGAGTCAGAAAGCTGACAATGACTCCACACTACAATTACTATCTTTTTCAGTGGAGCATTTTTATCAAGTGAAGTTTGCATTGAAGTTGTAAGATGATCAACTTGTTGATCTAAGTCACTGTTATCTGATGAATTACTCTGCAAGACAGAGGAAAACATAGATGGAAGAGATTGTTTAAATTTGGTTACAGCATTTTCTGATAAGCACCTGCTGAGATGAAATTTACTCTCAGTGACTGTGTAGTCATTTAATGTAAACTCAAAGGTAATTAAAAAATGGTCGGATAGAATAGGATTTTGAAGAACTATTACCAAGTCCTTAATCTCTATACCATAGGTCAGAACTAAATCAAGAGTGTGATGATAAGAATGAGTAGATGCGCGGACGTTTTGGGTAAAACCAAATGAGTCTATTAAATTACTAAAGGCTATGCTTAAGCTATCACTTTCAACATCTACATGAATATTGAAATCACCCATTATGATGATTTTCTCGGTATTTAATAGTAAGTCAGTTAAGAATTCTGAGAGTTCAGACAAAAACAGAGAGTAAGCGCCTGGTGGACGATATATAACAACTAGTAAAAGTGGCTTTTCTGATTTCCATTTTGGATGAGAAAGACTGAGGGACAGCAATTCAAAAACATCATAACTAATAACTGTGTTTCTGCTCCAAACAGAGGGCTGTGGTAGCTTGGTGGTCTGCTGATATCTAGGACACCCGGAGGAGCAGATGGTGGGGGTTAAGTGCCTTGCTCAAGGAGTGGGATGAATGAGGGTGGGGGCAGGTGTGGGTGCTTCACCTACCCCACCCACATTTTTGATGTTCTTGGTACCGGGGCTTGAACCGGCGATCTTCCGAGCACAGGCCCACCTTCTCTAACCTATGCGCCACCACTCCCAATAATAATAATAATAATAATAATAATAATAATAATAATGCATTTTATTTACATCTGTCCATGCATGTTGTGAGAGCTTTAATTTGAAAAAAAAGGTAAGGTATTGACTTGGGGCAGCTGTGGCTGAGTGGTTAGAGCAGTCGTCCTCCAATGCGAGAGTTGGGGGTTCGAATCCACCAGCAGTCACATGTGGAAGTGTCCCTGGGCAAGACACTGAACCCCTCATAGCCTCTGATGTGTGTTCCATCAGTGTATGAATGTGATAAAGCACTGATTAGTCTCATTAGAATGATTTGTTCAATTAGCTTTGTAGAGATCTAGTAGAGTGCTGTATGAATGGGTAAATGAGGCACAGATTGTAGTGTAAAGCACTTTGAGTATCTTGAAATAAGATAGAAAGGCGCTATATAAGTACAGTCCATTACCATTTACCATTTACTTCAATTTTGGCATGCGACTGCTTCTAGACATAATAAAGGTCTCTATCAAAAACTGAATTGCCATGTCAATATCCAAGATGGCCACCGCCATATATATGTAAACTAGCCACTCCAATCATTCAAAGAAACTACACTTTCTAGTTTTTATATTGCTTAAAGGTATAGTTTCCTCAAATGATTATGGTGGACGATGATTAATCTATGGTGGTCAAGGCCACCAATGGACACCCCCTGGCTCTGCCACTGTGCCTTGTGGTGGATAGATAAAATTGTTAAAATTATGGGGGTGGGGACGTTGACAAACTGCTTGTTACTTTACTTACTTATATACTGTGTACTTGTGTTTTTCTTTGCTCCACAGGTGTGTGGAAAGGGTTTTTTCCTGAGTGAACAAAATATTTGTTTACCATGTAACTGCAAAGGCCAAGCTGACTACTGTGAAGACATCACCGGTGTTTGCATAGTAAGTTTCTCAGCAGGACTTTGATAAAACATCCAAGCAAACAAATGATGCCTTGAATAACAAACATCTCCATTCAGAACTGCAGGGACCACAGCACGGGGGATTTCTGCGAAATGTGTGATGATGGCTTCATCCTGACTCTCAGTGAGGATGGGCGACATACCTGCAGACCTTGCTCCTGCCCTCTGTCCCTTCCCTCCAATAAGTAAGTAAGATGGTTGTGAAGGCAGCTCTGAGGCTGACTCTTGGCCCCGGCTGTGTGTAATTTCTCACTGACTGCTGTATGTGTTCGACTAGTTTTGCCGTGCACTGTGACAGAGCAGCTGCCATGCTGAGGTGCAAATGCAAAGAAGGCTATGCAGGACACATCTGTGAGAGGTCAGTATGACAAGATTGTTCATAGTCAGGACATTGTGTCATGCAGAAGATAGAGGAGGTCCGTGCATTTTGATTAAAAACTACAGATTGGTTTGGGCAGCACATGTGCCATGCAAAATGTAGTTTATTTTTTTTTACTTATTAAAGTTCACAATATTCATGCTGTTCTTACAGTAAAACACCTGTGAGTAGAATTATTTTTTAGTTTTCTCAAACTAGTTTTCTATCAAAATGTTTAAAATATCTCAACATAAACTAGAGGGTATACATAATAAAACCCACCGATTACCTGCTTCATAACAGGCTTTATTATGTACAGTATTGCTTCTATCTTTATTTCCTGAAATTTATACTTTGTACGTCTAGTAGAAATTAGGGATGGGGCCGATCCGATCCAGTATTGGTATCGGCCTCCGATACCAGCATAATTTACGTATCGGATTTTTCCGATCCACGTGCCAATATTTCCGATCCATGATGCATGTCTGTGGTTGCGCTGCACGTTGGCTTCAAACTATGGAATGGATTCCATGAACGGCGGCGTGTCTCATGAACCCAGAGTAATAAGACCCGCCTCACATTCAGGAAATCCATTTCATAGTTTGCAGCCAGCTACAACGTGAGGGCTGAGTTAGCAGCACTGTGGCTAACAGCTAACCAACTTTTCATCTAAACATGTCCGTTGTGTGGAAGTATTTTACACTAAACACCACAAAACAAGACAGCAACATGCAATGTCTGCAGAGCCATAGCGCCACATTAAACCACGTTAAAGTTAGTTTTACGATGGACATTCGAGCTCCGTGGCTTCAGCGGGGCGCTACTCTCGCTGAATCCGAAAGAGGCGACTCAACCTCGACCAGCCACGTCAATCTGCCCCGCAGTCTGCCTGTCTCTGAGGAAGGACAGACTGAGCCCGGCTGCCCCAAATCAGGCTGCTTGCTTTGAATTGAACAAGAAGAAGACATTGCTGAAACCATGGAGCTCTAATGTTTACAGAGAAGTTGCTAAACTTCATAATTAATGTCCAACTCCTATCAGTTTTAGAAAACGAAGGATTTCACAGTTTGATATTTGCATCCAAGATATAGTTTACCCTCCAGGAGATATTTATCAGTACAACAGTAGACAATCATAAAAAAACATGATTTGAAAATTATATATATTAAAACAAAAGGCAGCTACATTATAAAGTGATGTAAAATACTAAAAACAGGAACATGTCTGTTGGTTTATGCCATGAACTTAGCAGGTGTTTGAAGCCATTTAATATTTTATTTAATTTAATTCATTTATTCATTCATTTAAAAGAAACAAAATTAAAAAAAATCATCAAAAAGAAAATATTGAATGAAAAGAGTGCAGAAAGAAGAAAAAAATATATATATGCCCCTTATTTAAAAAAAATATAAAATAACTTTAAACAATCACTTAAATTAATCACTTTAATATCCACTTTAAAGATAGGAATAAAAATAAACATGTTTTGTGTTAGCAGAATTTAATTCTAACTTTAAAATGTATCCAACATTAATGAAACTTACCTCAAGTTGCCTTTTTGGACATGCATGCTTATATTTGTACAAATTGTACTTGAGAGGAGATTATTACAGCCTCATGTAAAATCAATGATGATGATGATATCGGAACTGGATCGGTATCGGCCGATATTCAGATTTAGGTAATCATGATTGGATCAGAAGTTAAAAAAAGTGGATCGGTGCATCCCTAGTAGAAATATTATGATATTCCTCCTGAAATTAAGCTCATCTGCACTACCTACTGTTGTTTGCAAATAAACATATGAACATGTAAATAACTTCAATACAAAATTGGGAGTGACATAAAAGCAGGTTTTAAAAAAGGGTTTGTATCAAATGTTACAAAATATTTAAAACTGAAGTTGTTTGAAAATGACAGCAATCTACCTTGGTCTTAATCCCACTTGTTTAATCTCTTTGACATTTAAAAAGTTATCTGTTAAAGGAGGCCAGCAGAGTGTAGAAACCTCTCTTTGGCTCAGTTCATCCTGTGCAACTCAGAGGCAGAATAAAAAAACGAGAATGCCTCCCTTTTAACCTCCAGCAGAACCAGGCTCAGGATGGACAGTAATCTGACTTGACTGTTTGTGGTTGAAGAAGACAGGAAAGAAACCCATAAACACAATGTATGGAGCTTCTATGGGCAGACGAGCACTGAACACAGACTTAATGACATCACTAACTGCAGATACAATTACAAAATGTAAAGTAAAGACAGCAGCAGAATGTGGTCAGTTTGTCCTACTGCAGTCTAAGCCTATAGCAGCATAACTAAGGGATAGCTCAGGAAACCCAGGCCAACCCTAACTAGAGGATTTACAAAAAAGGAAAGACTTCAGTCTAGCTATAAAACTGGACAATGTGTCAGCCTCATGGACAGAAACTGGAAATTGTTTCCACAAGAGAGGAGCCTGATAACTGAAAGATCTGCCTCCCATTCTGCTTTTTTAATGTATTGTTTGCTTTTATCTTATGTGTTTATTGTTTTTATTCTGCACAGCCCTTTGAGCTGCTTTTAGTATGAAGGGTGCTTTATAAAGAAAACTGATTGATTGATTGATTCTACTTTTGGAAACTCTAGGAACCACAAGTAAACCTGCAGTCTGAGAGTGAAGTGTTCTGTTTGAAAAATATGGAACTAAAATAACAATATTCTCCTTGATGCAGGTGTGCCCCAGGTTACTATGGAAATCCAATGGCGATTGGTGGTTCCTGCAAGAGGTGTGACTGTAATGGTAACACGGACCCCAACCTGATCTTCAACGAATGTCACAACATTACAGGCCACTGCCAGCACTGCTGGGGAAACACGGCTGGAGCCAACTGTGAGAGGTGTGCCCCGAATTTCTATGGCGACGCCATCACTTCCAAGAACTGCAGAGGTAGGTGGCAAGACGTGTAGGACTGCAGTACTCCCACATTCTTGACCTTTATTGAACAGCTTCCTGTTCTATGAAAGATGAAAGTTAAATTGTTTGAATAATGGTATACATACTCTCCAATCTGCTTGATAGGAAAAGCAGCACCACAATTTTAGGTCAAAGACTATCCTATAGTTAAATCCTCAAATATCCAGTTCTGCTATGATCAAAACACATGACGTTGGGTGTTCTTCATAGCTGCTTGTGTCCTGTCTGTCGCAGAGTGTAAATGCAGCAAATGTGGCACATCTTCATGTGATGACAGGACAGGAGTGTGTCACTGCAAGCCGGGAGTCACTGGACAATTTTGTGACCAATGTGAGGTGAGACAGACCAGGTGACTCTGCCCACTGCAACTGTAAGTCATGATGTTTACCACAAAGAAGTTTACATCCTGGTACTGATCATAACAGGACTTTTTTATTTTTTTAAAGTTTTGTAATTGTCTAGTTTCTTTGTCAACAAACCAGAAGTTAAAAAACAAACAAAATAATAATAATTTTAAAAAAATCATCATTTGATGCCTTGAGGACAAACAAGCTGGGAATCTTTAGGAATCTTGTGATTCAACTGGATGATGGCTACAATGCAACTATAGAACAATAATGTACAGTATGCATTTCCAAGCATCCATGAATACACTTGAAACAAAAGCTTGTTCCCTAATAAAACCCTAACCTGTCACACAAAAATATTGTAGCTTTAAAGGGTGCACTATAAAGCAGCTTATCTCTAGGTTGTGACTGTTGAAGAATAGACTCAAATATATGAGAAATGGGCACATTTTTGATTGCAGTCTTACTAAATTCTGAGGGTTTCATGGGCAAGTCCTGAAACAGTTCAGCTGTAGAGTTGCCTTCAGGCCCTAAAAATCCAACCCAACCCGGCCCCAGCCCATAGCTATCATTTCCGAACCCCATCCAACCCAACGAATTAACAGTAATTACAGGTCCAAACCCGACCCCCCCCCCCCCCCCCCGACATTTTTAATTAATCTTTGACTGCTTATACTGTATAGTTATTAACGATCGGCTGACATGCTTGGCTGATTAATAGAAGGCCCAAGATTGGAGCTGAGAGGGTGTTTGTCCTTTCATGACCATCAAAGTGCATTAAGTCCCTGCTTCTGCCTGCTTTCTGCATTATTCAGACACGGACCCTGCTCTGACATGTTGGATATTTTGGGATCTCACCTGTTCGGGTAGTCGGCCACGTGCATCTGCTGAGTGTAGCGACTGAAGCTTAACTGAATTTTATTTATTTTAATTTTATTTTTTTACCTCTTTCAAGGCCGGTCAGCGCATGGTCAAATGGCGGTGTGCAGCTGGTGATTGTATGGCAAGCCATGTTGTCATATAATTGGATCGTCAGCCACGCATGTTCGCTGATGCAATCAAAAGCCAGACACGACCCAGCCCGCACATTAAGCACATTTATGGCCCAGACTGGCCCTAATCCGGGCTGGGCCAAGCTCTGGGTTCGGGTTAGAAATGAGAGCTCTAGTAAGCTGCGCAGCTGCATTTTATGTAATCAAGTTTTGAAAATCCAGGTGAACCGCTGCAACTCAAGCAAAGAATTTGAGAATCCCCGCTGCAAAGGTTTCCAGAAGTTCTGGAGTCTCCATCACCTATGCAGTTTGCCAAGTCAGTGCCAACAGTTGAGGCACAGAGAAAGACTACCTTTAGCAGTTTTTAAACTTTGAGTATTAAAAGTATCCTCAGTTATGTCTTTAGTTTTCTTTAAAGTTAATTTAGAAGGGTAAAGTAAAGCCTGCTCAGTAAAACCACGGTAAGTTTCACTTGCATTAAAGTGACGACCCAGCTCACATCTGGTCCTTAAGACTTTATAGGGATGTTTCAGCCATTTAGAAGTAGGGTTCTGTGATACAAAAGTATATGGAATTAATTTCACTTTTGATGACTGGAGATAACTTTTTGAACTGCCTCAGTTTAGAGAAAAAGCTGCATCAGCATGCTGTGTTAATTATGATTCAGCCAAGCCTTACAAGTGTTTCAGAAGATTTCTTATAAATCCAAAATGCAAAACTGACAGCGCTGTAGACATTTATGAAATAGAATAAGCATGGAACACTATTTAAACAAGCAGTATGCTTATGTCCCTCGTCGCAGAGGGATTTGAATAGTGAATGTTTGTAATTTTTCGAGAAATTTTTCGAGATTAGTGTTTTTCTGGACAGGAATGGAACAGAGAAAGAAAATGAAAATCTTAATGGTTTTTGTGCAAAATAAATGGGTAGCAGTTACACCGTGTAAAAGAACAGAAGTAGTTTTTTATGCCTGGAAGCAATATAAGTGATAGTGAAATTGGGGTAGCTGTGGCTGGGTGGTTAGAGCAGTTGTCCTCCAATGCTGGAGTTGGGGGTTTGATTCCACCAGCAGTCACATGCTCAAGTGTCCCTGGGCAAGACACTGAACCCCTCATTGCCTCCGATGTGTGTCCCATCAGTGTATAAATGTTATCTAAAGTGCTGATTATTCTCTGTATAGATCTAGTAGAGTGGTGTAAGAATGTAATAAAGTACTAGTTAGTCTTTGTAAATATATAGTAGAGTGTATGAATGGGTAAATGAGGGCACAGATTGTAGTGTAAAGAACTTTGAGTATCTTGATAAGATAGAAAGGTGCTATATAAGTACAGTTCATTTATCATTTAAATTAAAAATAAATTAAAAATCAGCTTCAAATCATGGACTAAAATTTTTAGATAGATGTGGTTGTTGCATTTACTTTATTTGTAGTGAGTTGACAAGAAGCTGATTTGACAAGAAGAAGCATGTGATTTGTGTACAGTCGTCATTGTGTGTTCCCACACAAAATCACAATGTGTGCTCTCCATTTAACCCATCACATGTGAGATACACACATGTGGAACAGCGAGCAGCTACTGTATGTAAGCACCAGGGGAGCAGGTGTTTTGCTCAAGGACACCACAATATATAGGCATAGCAGGGAATTGAATCTATGACCATGTCAGCTGCCCTACTACTGTACCACCGCTACCCAGTCCCACTAAAATACAAAAACAGTCAGTCAGACTCTGAAAGAAAAAATCCATCCATTTTTATGAAGTTTCTTTAATGATAGAAATGTGTAAATGCAAAATTCCTGCTGAAAATGACTGACAAAGCTGAAAATAATTTTAAAATTGACCACAGTACAAGCAAAACACCTCAAGGTTCAATATGCACATTATGTACATTCTGGAAACGTGATTTGAATCTGATGCACATCACTTGGATCGCGAGTTCAACATGCCTATTTTAATAACTATACAATATTTTCTATTATATTCTCATATAGTATAATAATAATATTATTATTATTATTGTTATTATTGTTATTGTTTATCTTATTTCTTTATTTATTGTTTTGAAACATTTTAAGAATTTTTTGTGTGAACCTTTATATCCGTTTCTGCTTTTACACTTGAACATCCCCTCTGTGGGACAGTAAAGGCTGGTTCTATTCTGTTCTATTATATTCTATCAAAACTGACATGGTTCTGTTGCTGTTTCTGTTTTCCTGCACCTCTGTTTTCCATGTCATCATCCACAGCTGGTCCTTATTCTAATCACCCCAGGTGCTCCTCACTGTCTCATTAGTGTCAGTATTTAGACTGTGTGTTTTCACTCCTTTGGTATCCGGGCTTTATCCTTCCACAGTTTGTGTCTGCTCCACCTGTCGTATCTTATTTAAAGTAAGTTTTGCTGCCCCATCAGCATTTTGTTTTGTTCAATAAATTATTTATTAGTTATTTTCACTATAGAGTCCTCCTATTTTCTTGCGCGTGGGTTCGAACCTTAAACTGCAGACCATGACAAAAACAGTTCCTAAATGTTAAAATCACAAAAACTTGTAGATAAAAGTTAAAATTAGCTAAACTGTAGCTAAAAGCCAAAGCCAAAAATGTAGTCAACAATTAAAGCTAGTAAAAACAAGCAGCCAAAAGGCAAAATGAACAGAGCAGAGGCTTAAAACTTCAATTAACAAAACAGAAACATCAGCTAAAATTTAAATCCATATACATTTCATAAAAAACAAATGAGAAATAAAAGTAAATACTGTACAAAGAACAAAAGTTACAAATATGTAGGTTTTAAGCTTCCAGCTGCTGAATGAACATACCAGAACTGGTAAAGTTACTGAATTTCTGATGAAGTATTTAAATGCTGAAGAAACTATAAACAGGAAAACAATAGTGTGAATGATTTAATTATCCAAATGTGTAAAGTTAACTTTTCACTAATTTATACAGTGTTTCCAAATTATCCCAAACATTGTTAGACCTACTGAATGTGCTTCTTGTCATGTAGGAGGGGTACTCCGGCTTCTCCAGCTGTCAGGGCTGTCGAAGATGTGAATGTGGGCCAGCCTCCATTCGCTCCACTTGCCATCCTCTCACCCACAGCTGTCCATGCCGCCCGGGGGCTGGAGGTCGTTACTGCGAGCGCTGCCTCCCAGGATACTGGGATTACAGTCCTTCCGGCTGCAAGAGTAAGTCAGTCATCCACATGTGAAATGTTCTCGTGATGAAGCATTCAGAGCAGATTCTCAGAGGAAACGCCGGAGCTGACTCCTCACATTCTCACACCCACCACTGCAGCCATGATGTCAGAGAAGCATCTGTTGAGAGCCACAACCGTTCACCCAGAGGCTCTCAACTGAGAACTAGCTGACATCACCTCATATCTGAAAACATTTAGCAGCTGCTAAGATCATCAGTCCTACTCAGGAGAAACCGCAGGAGTCAGGACAGATGTGTACGTTTCTGGCCAAATGGCCATATGCAGGTCTTCATAACAACAGGGCTGACTTGTTTCCAGCTGTTGAAAATGTGCCGATTGTTTTATGATTGTAGTTACGATGATGTCCTTTTTGCAGAGTGTGACTGTGAGAGCGGCCACTGTGACATGCAAACAGGCGAGTGCATGGCAGAGGCTGCTGTCAACATGTGCAACAACAGTAAGTGAAGCAATGACACCATAAATAAATAACTTTTTGACATGCTGAAGAGTGCTGCTGCAAATAGTTACGGAATGCACCCTGTCAAAATAAGAGAGTTCCCGGATCCTGTCCCAGCAGGAGCCGGCTCACATTAAGTCCTGGTTTTAAAACAAAAATCACACTGAAAAATGTATACTTTTTTTATTCTTACAGATTTTTTTAAAAATCAAAGTCTTTTTTATTGATTCCATTTTTTAGAACACACACACACACACGCACCTCCCCCCGCACCCCCACCACACACACACACACACACACACACACACTCACACACACACACACACACACACACACACACACACACACACACACAC